CACTCACAGAATCTGTCGATAATGTATTCGTATGATCAGCCAACTAAAACAAGAAATATTTCAATGCAACGTATAAGGACTTTTAACAATGTCATTCTGTATAGTAGAAAAGAGTATCAAAGAATAGTCAATTTTGTAATGAAACTGAGCTTTACCTTTAAATAAGAAAGTTCTTCGAGGCAATTCGCAATATCACCTTTTACCAAAAGAAAAAACACATCCAACTCCCATGTATGAGCTATGATTTTCGCCTCCTGCACAATCCATAATCTCGCTGTGTGTATCGAGTGGTCTAACCGATGAAGAACGACGATCTGCTCTGATAACGGTAATTCCATCAACGGTGCTCCTATCACCCATTCGCCACCTGCCTCGCACTCGTTGCTCAACCTAACGAGCAACTGGAACAACTCTATGAACATTTGACCCGTGTCAGATCCCTGAAAATTTAAACCAACCTTTCAAAATCACTCTGTATTACAATTTATTATTCAGAAAAGCACTGGCTCCTGATCGAAATTTTGAATGGATAGAAGAAAGAAAGGAAGGGTAAATATAAGGGAATATAAAATTTCGGATATGAAGTTTAATGACTGATTGCAGATGGAACATCCTATGGATGATTGTGAGACTGATATCATTACTCGGCAACAAAAACAGTTGATACGTCTGCATAGACAGAATACAATGTACTGTACCAAAATTTTTTTATTAATATCTCGAAAACTAATAAAAATCCGAAATCAAAATTTTATATTTTCCCCACCCATTTTCTCTCCATCCCCTCAAAAATTGCATGTGCGGGAACTGATGCAACATTTCGGAACTATAGCTCAATTTATTATTTTATCATATGCTTCACTTAATATTATTTGATTCTATTCTTCTATTCTATTCTTCTATTTCTGTTCTTCTATTCTTTAATATTATTTTATTCTTAACTTAGTAGTTCACTTCTGTGATCAGAAGGGATCGAAATTTGGCTATTGTTTTTCTTTTTTTAATAAAAGAGAATCTCACCTCCGTGGAGGAAGCTTTAGACTGACACTTGAAAGCTGATGTATAAGCCAGTCTAAATAACTGGTCCCATTCTGTGATTGTAGCATGACAACCAAGTGCATCACAAAGATTCTGTAATGCTGGTCTCACCGTTTGAGGTACTAAAATTTTAACAAATATTAAAAATCTTAGATGTGTAATTTGATATTAGTATTTCTTTTGTACCGTGATTCTTTTGGATAAATTGACTAAGCCAGTCTTTGAGCTGCTGTGCTCCATGATTATGACGAGTAGCGAGAGCTTCTGGAGACCACCAAAGGACCACGTGATCCAGAATGCCTGATAAAGCGCCCCACGCAACTTCTTGATAATAATTCTTCACCTTCTTTATCGCGCTGTTTCTCAATCTTGTTTCTCCTTTCATGATTATGTATATTTTATTAAGTTGAATTAATAATTAACATGCAATACATACTTTCCAAGCTACACTTATACGTCATTGTTTCATTAAGTTGTATAAACAATTTTATTCCTTAAGTGAATTTTATCATCATATAAAAGCGGAAATTCGATATTCGCAATTACGATCATCAAGCCTTTATCAGGGACGAGGATTTAGAAATGAAAAAAAATTTAATTTTTTTTTACCTTTGCTAGTTTTTAACGCATCAGTACCCAATAATTTCGGTGAAACTTCTTGCACGATATTTAACAGCCTGAGCACCTGTTCGTTTTGAGAATTGACCAATGTCTGAATACTCTCGATGTTCGATACTTCCACCTCCGTTCTCGGGATGGTATTTTCGATCGGCGGTGTCAAGTGTCTCGTAAGCGCTCTACGAACCTAATGTCTCATGAAATACGCAACAAAAAAAAAA